CTATTGCTCTATCCAGTCGCAGTCCGCGCCCCAGCGGGGCACAAGGAAGGATCCTCCAGAGATGACGTCTTGTTGCTGTCATCATTGCTTTCACATCCGATCGCACCCAATACCATCATGTCACTGCCGGTTTGCTTCCACATCACGAAGAAGACCAACCTCCGAAGCATTTCGAGGCAGGGACTAATTCCGGGAGGTCTTGGAGAAGGTCATCGTATGTTCACGTTCTTCAATCCATATGTGCCATGGGATCATAGATCATGGACCATCACGAAGAGCGTTGATACGCGAAAAGGGGACTACATCTGCCTCTTCATCCCGACCGAGACCTTGATGGTGGAGTACGGTGGTCGATTGACCGATTCGGGACAGATCGTTTCGCCAAAGATCATCCCGTTCTCAGCGATCAAAGGAGGATGGATTCAAGATCCAAAGGATCAAAACAACAAGACATGGCTCCGGTTGTTCGTTCCGTCGGGCGACGACCAGGTAGTCCGGTCAGGCACTGTCAAGTCAAGAACTGTCGCCACCAAGGAGTCCATTCTGAGGATCGCAAGTCAATGCATCGACGCCGAAAAGCAACCGTATGACGAGATCACCATGGATGCAATGAACATCGTCCATCAGTTCAGAAACAACCTCATTGAAGCTGGCGGACAAGAACAATACCTCGCCCGCATCAAGCTGATTGACTACATCGTCGAGCGCAAGAGGGTGGAAACTTCAGGTTGCCGTCATTGCCCTCATTGCCTCAATGAGACGCCGACGAAGTTGGCAGTATGTCTAGGTTGCTGGACAGAGCTTGAGAGCTGTGGAATTCGACCATATAGACTACAGGCTCCTGAAGACGATGAAGATGAAGCCACAAAGAAAGAGCTCGATGAGGAGGTTCGCCGACAGGAAGAATCGTTGTTCAAGGATACGGTCCACCAAGCACAGGAAAACGTACCTGAATCCAACGATTATGGCTTCAATCCTGACGAGGTCGACTACAACGAAGGCGATGACGAGGAAATGGCTCAGGAGGAAGAGAGTCAGCAGGAAGACGACGAGATCGTTGAAGAGGAAGACGATGATGACATGAACGTCGAACCTGAGAATGAGCCTTCATCCAACCTGCCAGTATGGACCAAGAATCTTGCGCGTGGAAGCATGGGTTTGCCAGGAGACGGACTTGTCAACAATGATGTCTCCGAGGCCGCGGCTCACTTGTATGACAATGCCGTGATGTCAAAGATCATCGCAATGTTCAGACTTACTACAACCAGAGAGTCACTCTGACCCCAGAGGAGTACTATGCGTTGATGACGGCTACAAAGCGAGTCCGGCTGGACCTGGACGACTTCTGCCCTTACACAGGCGAAGATCAGGATGGCAAACTCAAGCGACCAACTGAGCAGGAATTGGACGAACTCTTTCAAGAGAAAGGGAAGAAGAACTCATGGTCAGAGGGAGAAAAGATGTACTCTGGGCGGCCGAGAAACATGATGATGCCTGTCATCAAAACTCTAGAGGTTTATGAGAAGATGATGGAGTTTCTTGTATGTGCTGGGTACACTCCCGAGTCCTTAGGTTTCCTCATGCCAATGACGAAGATGCAAGGTGATGCAAAGGAGAAGCAAGAGATGAGGGTGACCATTAGCAACTTTCTCCGACGACTGATGAAGGGAACTTTTCCCGAATATGAATCATACACCTTCTTTCGCTCCGGGAGCCACGGCTTCCCCAACTGCATTGAACTCCCAGCTTTCTCGGTATATCTGAGTCTGAGAGAAAAGGAACAAAGGGTGGAACTACTCTTTGCTGCCCAACAATGCGGTATTCCTTTACCTCGCAATTTCATCAGCAAGATGGCTTACGCCATTCAACTCGCTGAGGCCGAGGCGCAGAGGGGAAAGTCCGAAATGAAAATGAAAATGGCTCCGAACCTGGGGGACGAAGTGGTAAGTGAGGTATTCAAAGCAGTCGGGGACAGTGCCGCCGCCAAGCGTGCCACTGCAGATGCAAAAGCCAGATCATCAACACAGCCTTCACAGAAACCTGAAGGTACTGGTTCAACATCATCCTCATCGGCCAGTGCACCAAAGGCCAAGGCTATGCCACAGTCTTATGGACCATCCAAAGCACCACCTGCGAAACCTCCGTCGCCGAAAGCTGCTCCGAAACGCGCGGCAGGTTGGGAGAAATCTCAGAATACACCCCAATGGAAGAAAGTCCGCCGCGAGGAGTAAGCCAACAACCTCTGTCCATCCAAATGATCACTGGACTATAAGATGTGCATCGTCTTTGTGAACAGATGATCAGGAAAAGACCAACTGAGTGGACTCTGAGCGAGGCAGTAGACTAATTCGCTTAGGTCCAAGAGTATCGCTATTCCTAATCTGCACGATTTTTTTTTAGCAATGTGCACGTGAATTCACTAGTTAGCGCCAATTGCTATTCTTGGTGGAGCAGTCTACTTCCGTCGTCGATGGAGTGACTTGCGAAGCCGTAATCGTAGGGTAGCTGCAAGCTAGTGATAATTCGCGTTGTACAGCTCGATCTTGCACTGATGCATTGCATGCCAGAGAGTAGGCAACCCCGGATCCGCTACGCTCGTCGGGTGTGGGTGAAGGGGAAGCTGAATGGACTTGCGTGTACAAAGGCGTAATTCGTGCACAACAAAGGACATAATTCAAAGTTCCCACTCTCGTGCCTACGGTGCGAAGTCACCGAAGGCATGGGGGGTGTTAAAGGGAACGAGGTAGTTATGCATGTGTAACATGTATCATCTACAATCTGACAATTACCGCCATACATTGGCTCAAGCGTATGGAGAAAAGGGCTGCTTCGCGTGACTCTGCATGGCAATCGTCGGCTACCGGTAACAAGGGTACTACCTGATCGAGATAACATCCGGAACAAGGATCAAATTGTTCACATGGGAATATAGTCAAACTATAAAACTTGCGGAGATATCATGGGGGTAGCAAACCCAAGTGGGGTATAATAGCAATAGTTACAGTACTAGTGATGTTTGGGGATATCGAATGAGTGGGGTATAGTACTGATAATTGGGGATTCAAACCAACAAAAAAAAATTGGGGGTATACTGCGATCTGTCATGGGTATTTCATGGGGGGAAGCCGCAATTTCAGATACTTCATGGGTATTTAATCAACAATACGGGGATACGGGAACTATAATGGGATATACGGTGGATGGTTGCGAAATCCTGCACCAGTTAGTAGGTGGTTGATCCCATTTTAGGGTTGAAAAACCATCCTTTTGGTGATGCAGGATTTCGCAACCATCCACAGTACATTGGGCCAGAGGAATGACATTTCGTGGTATGATCTGGGGAAACCAACTGGTCATAGCTGATATAGCAGGTCGAGCTGTTGTACCCGGGAGGGGTAGCCAGGATTTTTTCACGTAAGGTCACCATTTTGAATGAACGGTAAATCGTCATTTTTATGGTGATATGAACATATGAAAATGGTATGAACTCATGATTTTTAAATGGCCCAAATGGTATATCATCATCATTTTTGGGCCATTTTCCATATCTGAAAGGGACCCATAAAGTACGGACCTGAAATGAATAGATCATGAACAGCATCACCTTGATTGAGGGGTTGTATTTTTTGGGAATGGAATTACCAAAGAATCCCGAACGTCTTGGAGAAGCCGGATGGGAAATTTAATCTGGTGTGATGTATACATATATATATATACTCGATTTTTGCAATTGATGTGATAAAATCCTAACTCTCATATACAGAATGTGAAACTTCTGCACGGTATCTGAGGTTGGCATGAAATCTATACTGCTATCCCAATGTAGCCTTCTGGTAAATTTTCACGTAGCTATAGAAACCATGGACCATTTATAGATGATTTACCCATTAATAGCATGGTGATTTTCCATAGTTATGTAAACGTTTACCAGAGGGTAATCATCAGTTTTCTTCACTGGTTGCCATTGAAATTCTAGCTCCCAAACATGCTTCAGTCTCCTATGATTCGTCCCTTGATAGTCCCATGATGATTTACCGTTCTATCGAAAATGGTGATTTTCCACTGGGTTATCCTATAATCTAACCGTGCGGGTTATCCCACTGGGTTATCCCATCATATCACTAGCAAAGGCCATGATATAATAATGGGATAATAATGGGCTAATTATCATGGGATAATATAATAATGGGCTAATAATGCATATTATCCCATTATATGATCACTATTAATGGGATAATAATGTAATATAATGGGATAATAATGGGATAACCCAATGTATAATGTGTTATATCCACATTTTTTGTTTTTTTCGATCACCAAAAAGGATGCAGGCGCACATTGCCACATTCCCAGCTGGGGGTCATGCCACCAGACCGAGGGATTTTGTACAGCACTACCAGCGAAATCTGGTGGGAATGGGTTCAAACCTATACCACATCTATTTCGGATATTTTCGGTTGAAGAATATATTTTCCGATATTTTCGGTTATTTTCGGCTTCACACTGTTCCCAAAGACCTTTAAGTACAAGGAGCATCAAACTCAGGGTCCTCACGGCAGACCTGATGGGAGATCACGATAGAATCGAAGTTCGCCTTGTTTACCTACGAACGTGGACAGTTTTCTGTCAGTGATGATGTTGAAAAAGTTTCGATACGGTACATTATATCTAATATACTACATACTACATACTATAGACTATATACTATAGAGATAGACTATATACTGTATCACTAACTGTATATTAGACTATTACAATATCTATATACTGTATATATACATATATATATATACATATATACATATATATAAAATATAATATAATATAATATAATATAATACAATATAATGCAATATAATATTATATAATATTATATTATTATATTATATTGGTGTGGGTCAAACTCAGGTAGCCCTAAATTTTTGTCCCGTCCGTCGGTCCGTTGCTCTCGAAAGGTGCTGGTGAACTCGCTGCTGGATGTGTTCTGCAAACTCGGGGACATGCCCAGATTGGAGGCCCAAATCTCGAGGGATTTCACCCATTTCACCTTTGAAAATTTCATGGTGGTTTAATGCTGAAAAAAAATGCTGGTGAAACCAGGTGGTTGACTTTGGGATCTTTCCAGTTTTTCCAGTAGGCACACTGAAAAAAAATTGGGAACTTGCCATGATTTTCCGATGGTCATGACGCAGATCAAATGAGAACTTCGATTTTTTTTGGGAATTGATCAGCTTACTTGGATGTGGCCCCACTTGGTCAGTACTTAGGATCCGTGGTTACATTTCATCCATAAGCCATACCCTCTGGTAAACTAACATAACTATGGAAAATCACCATTTTCAATGGGTAAATCCACTATAAGTGTGCCATTTTCAATAGCTATGTTAGTCATTACCAGAGGTTAGTTCATCCATTTTCTTCCCACATCATCCAGTGGGGATAGTCCGGCAGGCGACCCTGGACCGCATGAGGGAGTACGGCATTCGAGGCTCCGCGGTGACCTATGGCACCATCGTCAAGGCGGGGGTCAAAACCATGGGAGACATGGATAGGATGCAGAAAAATGCTGGGTTTACTGTGGGTTTAGCTGTTTTTTACTGTGGGTTTCATGGGCAAGAACAAGGATGATTCATGATAATCTGGGTAAAATATAGAACGACCGTCACTATACATGTTGGACACTATCCCAAAATGACCCAGCATTTCAGGTTGGTAAGGTGTTTAAAAGAATACCCATGCACGATGGGCAAAAGTTCCTTTGAAGACCTTTTTGCGAAAGTCATCAAGGAATTTCGACCGAAGATTCTGTGGGGTTTTGAACTGACCAAACTGACCATTGTGAGTTGCGGCAAGTTGCTGCTGCTTCCATGGGCCGGTGTCCAAAGATGGACCAGGCATATGGACGAGCTGGCAACATTGATCGAGTGCTGCAGGCGTGACACTTCGCATTGGTTCACCGGAATTTTTTAACATCAACTTTGAAACATCAAATTCCACAGTGAATTCAACTCGGATTTGATAAGGCTGATTATAATCCAGTTTTTGATCACATTAATCCTAATGATTTCCGCCCCCAAATCTCTTAATTTCCTCAAGCAGAAGCAGTTCATGGCCACCATTCGTTGAGGCGTGGGAAGAGATGCAAGCGGAGGGCTTGGAAGCCAATGCTGTCCCGGGCACCCAGTGGCCCAGGATACCCAGGGTGATGGCAGGCTTCAAGGCCGAAATCATTTCGAAATTGGCAGAAATTGGACCTGAGAATCAGCGGAAAACCAGATCAGCATACTGTATATGTGTGTATATATATATAAATAAATAGAGGGTGACATGTGTCTATAATTGTGTATTTACATTCATACGTAGCTACATACCTAAGTTAACTCGTTGTCACAGAGGTTTAGTGATTCTGTGATTCAGCAGACTAAGAATAATGTCTGATGAAACCACTACAAGAACAGGAATTCTGAAGCATAAAAGGAGGAAACCTGTCACCATCGAACTCCTTATAAAAAACAATCTGTGGATGGATCAAAACCTATGAATTACCGTATGACCAAGGGGATTGATATTCATAATAAGAACCAACAAACAATTGGTGTTTGTGAAAACAACAGGTGTTTCTTCACGAAAATTCCCTGGGTCTTGACCCAATATCCAAGAATTTATTCATGAGCTCTCCCAAATCATTTTCCCTTTACATATCCCAAGAAATTTAACCTCTCCCAAATCATCCCAACTGTACCCCAGTATCCCAAATCATCAATTTCCAGCGATTTGTTCCACCAGAAGTATCCCAAATCATGGAAAAAAATCCAGCGTTTTTTTTTCCATCACAGATTTTCCAGCTACCCTCTGGTAATGACTAACAGTTTGCTATTGAAAATGACCCAGTCGAAATAGTGGATTTACATGGATTGACCTACTATAGATGGTGATTTTCCATAGGTTAAATTACCCGAGGCTATGGATGGTCCAATGGTCCAAAGGTCCGATGCTCCCAGGTGACCTATGGCTGCATGTTGGATGCCTGCGTGAAGTGCGGGCACCTCGAGAAGGCGCCTTTTTTTGTGAACGATTTCAGAGTGTTTCATGGGATTTTAACTGGGATTTTAAATGGGATTTTAAATGGGATTTCATAGTGTTTAGTGGGATTTTAATGGGATTTTCACGGGATTTTAAATGGGATTTCATAGTGTTTAGTGGGATTTTAATGGGATTTTCACGGGATTTTAAAGGGATTTCATAGTGTTTAATGGGATTTTTAATGGGATTTAACCATAGAAACATGATCATTGAATGGGATTTAACCATCATGTATGATATATATATATATATATTTATTTTTCGACTGCCCATTTAACCGTGGGGATCTAATTGACAAATGATCGTTGATTGAGGGTTATGTGGTTGTAGAATATTTTATACTGTGGATGGTTGAGAAATCCTACACCAGTTGGTAGTTGTTGGTAACTATGAAACACGGTAAATATTGGGATGATAAGGAGATAAACCATCTACCAACTGGTGCAGGATTTCGCAACCATCCACCGTATGTTGGCAATCATCACAATCCATGAACTGGGAAATCCGTTCTCAACACTGGTTATTTCGCAATTAATGTAAGGGACGATCGGGTTGTGAATAGCGATCATTTGGCTATGCCCCAGAATTATCATCTTGGGAAACTGCTAATAAACCTAGTTTGTGCCTGCGGACTTTCTCAGGGCAGGGTATTTTTTGAAGGGACATCAGAAAGGACAGTAGTACTTGGCACAGTTCCAGTGAACTAAGTGCTGATTTAACCAATTTTATGGGCTCATATGCCAACTTATGTTGGTTATTGCAATGGTCATATCAATAACCCCAGCTGCACCCTGAGAGCTAAGAAGCTAAGGGTCTTGGCTCTCACAATAGCTTGGACTGTACGCAGACCCGCGAAAAATGGGTGGAAATGCACGGGCGCCTGCTCGCTCGTACAGTTAGAACGCCTCATGATCTAGCCCTTTTGATGCTATCTTGAGGAGCCTATCTCGATGCCGTCTCGTTCGTTTCTGACATCCATGTACCTGGAGCCCGAAACAACCAGAAATGACGAGTGACTCTGACTGTTGAATATTGGAATATTGCACATGTTGGAACTGAACAAACCACCTGCTGGACAAATATCCTGCTGGAAATGGTGGAAATAGGAATGTCATGATAGCTGTTCACCACTTGCACTTGTGATGTATCATTCCATTTTTCATGGTGTATGAAACATTAACCCTTGATACAACTCCGATTTTCATGATGACCATTCCTCAAGGGTGTACAATTGGATCATAATCTCTATTTTTTACGGTGAATTCTAGGGTAAACTAACATAGACATGGAAAATCAACCATTTGTAGATCATTATCCCAAGGTTTCCCCATGGGTTTTCCGCAGAGTGGCAGACTGTGACAGGCCTTACACATCTTCGCCATCATGAAGCAGCGAGGCCTGCATCGAAATACCATCCTCTATGCCACTCTCATCAAGGCCGATGGGGCCGATGCCGATGGGAACTTCTGGATGCAAGTCATTGAAGTCTTTACCATATGGCATCAGGCTATGGGAAACGATTCTGGGTATGAAAATATATGGGATATTTGGTTTAACATGGTTTAACAGATGTATGATACGATATTTGATATACTGACACGGAAAGATATTATGGATGTCACGGATATGAAGACATAGATGTTTTAGATCTATGGTGACGATGGTTGTCATTATCTATCCCCTGGCTTGGGAAAGAAACAAAGAAACCACACAGACTGGGAGATCTTGTGGGTTGAACTCAGGGCGCAATGCTGTTCAATTTGGATTCAATCCCTAAACAGAATGGATAGCCGGTATGGCAACCACACAATGGCAAAGGCAATGGTTGATGTCAACCAGAAAAGAAAGTGAAACTCGAAAAAAAGCCCAGAGCTGATGATTTTTCGGATTTCCCCAGTGATTTCGCCAGAGACTGCGGTTTTTTTCGCAACCAGCAGCTTGGGTTCCGGATTGTGGAACAACCAGCTCTGGTTGCTGGTGGCATCAGAAAAGAATCAATCATGAAGACTGCATGTTTGTCATGTTTGTTGCTCCTATCGCTCTTGTTTGTTGTTTATACTTCCATTTCTGCTGGTAAATCTGGTACAGTAACAATGCCTGGTGGTATATTAACAGACGCATTTTAAGTGCTTCAATCCGTCCGTGCGCTGGTCAAAGTCGTCATTCTCTGCAAGTCATCCCATGCGATAGTCACATGCTTTCAGGCTGATTCCATCCGGCCACGCAAACAACGAGAAGCCAATCGAAAGGTGTCCCCCATACATAAATATATATATATATATATAAATATAAAACTGATAGAATACATCCATGCAAAAATTATAGAGGTGTCCGCCAAAAGATGCTCTTTGATATAGAATATCCTATTACTTGTCATAACAAACTCATGTGGAATTCAGCCAATGATAAACCAGTTTTTGCGGGTGATTTTACACAATAAACCTCTATTAGGGATAATTTATAATTTAGCTTTACCACATTACCCTCCAGTAAACCTTTACATATGGAAAATTACCATGTTAGGCAAATCATCATTTTCTATGGCCATGTTCAAGTTTGCAAACGTTTTTTTTCATCAGAGAGGTACCACTTTGTTGGTTAAGCTCTGCCGCAGCTCAGGGCTTTGCCAAGTCAAAGGATCCCTTGGCGGCGAAGAACTTGTACCGCGAGATGCGCTCCGAGCGCGTGCCGTTTCCTGGCAGCCAACAGCGCTCGCTGGGAGCTGGGGGCTGGGGGCGATGTCACGTCGTTATTTTCAAAGCAACGACGTTACCCTCTGGTAATTTAACATAGCTATGGAAAATCACCATTTTTAATGGACAAATCCACTATAAATGGCCATTTTCAATAGCTACGTTAAATTACCAGAGGGTAAAATATGAAGAGCATTTTTGGGTCTGTCTAAAAATTGAGGCATACAATTCATATAATTATGTTTATCAATTTTCTTCCAAGCTAGTTGATGATAAACCATCAACAAAAATGCCGTGTGGAGGGGCCAAAGATTGGATCCATATATGGGTGTATTCGCGGAGATTTTAACTTCTTTTTTGAGGATGTTTTTCTCTGTCTTTGTGGGTTACAGGTCACTTGACGTGGTCAAATGATGGTTGGGGCACGAGGAAATTCTGATGAGGAAGCTTGAAGAACTGCGAATATTTATAGTGGGAGTTCACCAACTGGTTGGTGGTTTGGAACATTTTTTATTTTCCATAATATATGGGATAATCCTTTCCATTGACTTTAATATTTTTCAAGATGGTTAAAACCACCAACCAGCCAACAAACAACGAGAGTATTGGTCAAAAATTCAAACCCAGGGGACTGCAAATTTGGTCAATTGGCAAAAAACTACACCATCCGATTCTTGGGTAAACCTTGACCTTACCACAGTGGATATCTACTAGTCACCTAAAAGTACATCTGTTTTCTTCGCCAAGATTGGCACTTTGTGATCCATGACCCCATAACTTTGACCATGGCCCATGAATTCTCCTCTTGGGAATCTGGGAATCTCGTTCGCAACCCGTTTTGGTATTTCGCGGTTGTATCCCTGCCGTGATTTGACCATGATATACCATCTGGTGATGACATTCACAGTTCGCCATGGAAAGATCCACCATGCTATCAAGAACGGTAAACCATCTATAAATCAATGGGCCATCCATACCATGGCTATGTTAGTCATAACCAGAGGGTATCCACATATTGATGAAATATGGGGGTTCAATGGGGATCCCCAGTCGTCACCATGGCTTTCAATACCAGTCGTCATGGTCATCCATGTCTTGGATGATGCAAGGGGGTACCCCCATGACAAAACGGACACCTCCACATATTGGCATTTATTGATTATAATAAAGTATAAGATAGATGGGATATATTGACTATAATATTTTGATATATAAATATATATGTAAATATATATATTGTATATATATATATGTAAATATTATATATATATGTAAATATTATATGTATATGTATGTAATTATATTATATTATATATGTTATATTATATATATAATATTGGTGAAATATGTCCATCGCCTCCAGGTGCAATGTGGTGGTCTTCAACAGCCTCATCGACGCCTGCGTTCGCGCCTGTGACTTGCAGGGGGCCGGTGAGGTGCCCGAAGGAACGGCGGAAGGGTGGGAAGTGACCTGAATTTCTGATGTCATGTGGTACACCTTGGAAGAAACACTGAAGATAGACCAAAAAAGGATAAAAATGGCCCTAAGATATGCCAATTTTGATCAATTTTGATGATTCCAAATCAAAGACCTCAGGATAAACCCACGATCTTCCCGGGTTTCTCGTTCCAATTCCCCCTTTTTTTTCCTCCGCAGGTGCTGCAGGAGATGACAGCCACCAATGTTCGTCCCGATCTGATCACGTCGGTTTCCCCTGCGGGATGTGAGGGGCCTACTGACAAAGCTGCTGCTATGTCTGTTTACAGGGATTTCATCCAAGTAAAATCTATCATGAAAAAAGTGGGCAGATGTACTGCAGTAAACTGGGCAGATGTACTGCAGTAAAGCCAGTAAACCCCAACACATCAACCATGGCACACAATTCTGAAAAAATTGGAGCCTTCTATGGGGGTTTCACATGCCATGCCTCCAAGAAACGGGGTAAGACATGGGGTGGTGACCATTCAACATGTCGTGTTGGGCCGTTGGACAGTGGGGATGTGAGCTAAGCGTATGGGTCAACTGGTGAAACCCAAATCTGCAAAAAAAATGGATGTGAATACATAACCCCTCGAATATGGTAATGGATGGTTCTGACACATCCAAGTATCATACCAATATTGTGATATGTATATAATGAACTACACCGAGATGATTAACCATACTATCTCCCCAAGATTGGCAAAAGTTGGTCTGATTGTTGGCTATATATCGGCATTATATCCAGATTTCTCCGCATTTTATCCCCCATGTTGCTGGAAGTTTGTTTTTGTAACCCTCAAAGAGATAGAAACGTAAATCACGACCATTTCAGTGGAGTCTATTCGTTGGTTCCCATTCATTTACGCATTTCCCGGTGGTTGTATATGTAGAACCCCAAAAGAAATGGACCAATATTTGTAAAACATGTCTGGTTGGTGGTTTGGAACACGAACTTTATTTTTCCGTATATTGGGAATGTCATCATCCCAACTGACGAACTCATATTTTTCAGAGGGGTAGGTCAGCCACCAACCAGATTTCTTAACCATCATTAACCATCATTAACCATATAATAACAATATAATAACCATATAATAACCATATAATAACCATATATTAACCATTATTAACAGTATATTAACTACATATTAACCATCAACATGTTTGAAACCATGTTACCGGTACCAAGAAACCCGCTTCCCAGTCATTGTGAAAGCAGGATCCGGCCGCAGGTTTAGCACCCTCATCAAGGGCTACTGCAGCAATGGTGAGCTCTCCAAGGCGAACATGAACATGAACTTTCGTGGATGCTGGAAGATAATCATATAATGATGTATGTAAATAAATGTATATATATATATAAATACACGTATCTTTACATATATACACATCATTACCTGTTGTACATCCAACTTGCTGCTTTCCAGCGGGCGCCCAAAAAGAGAGAGTCGGCCCTTAAACTTTCGCCTCGCGGCCGACGAGGCGATGCGACTGCAGGAAGAGCTTCAAGCACGACAACTGGAATGCGACGTGCGCGGGGGAGTCTGGTGACTTCTTGTGGTTTTGGTGTGTCTGGTGACCTCCGAAAAAAAACACATCTACGACCGGTGACTTCTTGTGGTTCCCAATTGGTGTGTCAGGTGACCTCCCAAAAAAAAGATCTCCGACTGTTTTTTTTTGGGGAAGACCTCCAGATTGCTGTGTCAAGACCTCCAAATTGGTGTGTCAATACCCTGCGATGTGAACATTTTGGCTATTTTTTGGGGAAGCGTAGGGTCTTGACCGATGATCTAATTTTCTTTGCACGCAATCGCCGAAACATTTGTCAGACTTGACCGACTTGCCAGCATTAGCTGCGACAGCGCCAATTATTTATTGTAGGTCATGATTTCGTGAGTGGCAAACGAAATTCCAACACTTGTCGAATTTGTTGAAGGGGAAGTTCACGGGGTTTATCCCCTATTCTTGGTGCCAAAAAAGAAGGTTTTTCCTGTAAAAAAATATCGCAAAACCAAGTCAGACTCCGCCGTGCAGGAAATCGTCTACAACTCCCTGTTGGAGGGCTGTGTCAAGGAGTGGCGCAACTCCTGCTATGGATGGGTGTTTTTTTGGAACCAAAAAACCTCGAAATTTTATTTCTCAATGGATTGAACATTTTAACATTTAAATATTTGCCATTTATTTTTTTCCTTTTTTCGGGAGGATCAACTTTTTGGAGGTTAGGGACCTACCAGAATGTTCCCTGCAGAGTGAGATGCTTGAACACATGCTTGAAATGTTGTAAGCCCACTTCATCCATATCACCAGATCATGAATCTGAGATAAAACATGTTTCAGTTTTATATAATTTTAATATTAATCAAGATCATTACTGGTTGATCATTTAAAATATATACATAATATATGGGATAATCCTTCACATTGACTTTCATATTAATCTTATTTTCTTAGAATAGCATCAAGCCCTGCAGGCTGGGGACCTGCAGCTGGGGCTGCGGATGTTCTCCGAGATGCGACAGAAACACGTGCGCCCCAGCGCGGTCACCTTCTCGATCTTGGTGAAGGTGGGGGAATCCATGGGGAGCAGATGATATACGATATGTATATATGATATATATGTATATATCTATGTATATATATATATATATGTACATAATATAATAGAGGAATATAGCTACAATATAGATAGTTGTACATACATACATACGTACGTACATGCATGCATCCATTCATCCATCCATACATACGTACATGCAGACATCCATGCATACATACAGACAGACATCCATACATACATGCATACATGCATACATGCACACATGCACACATGCATACCTGCATACCTACATACCTGCATACCCTACATACCTGCATACCTGCATACCTGCATACATGCATACATGCATACATGCATAGATGCATGGATGCATAGATGCATAGATGCATAGATGCATAGATGCATAGATGCATAGATGCATAGATGCATAGATGCATAGATACATAGATACATAGATACATAGATACATAGATACATAGATACGTACATACCTACATACATACATACATACATACATACACAGATACATAGATACATAGATACATAGATACGTACATACATACATACATACATACATAGATACATAGATACATAGATACATAGAAAAATACATAGAAAGATACATAGAAAGATACATAGATAGATACATAGATAGATACATAGATAGATAGATAGATGGATGGATAGATAGATAGATGGATAGATAGATAGGTAGATACATACATACTGGACATTACATTACATTACATTACATAACATTACAATACATTACATTACATCACATTACATCACATTACATTACATTATATAACATTACATTACATTACATTACATTTACATTACATTACATTATATTACATACATACATACATACACACATACACATACACATACACATACATAAACATACATACACATACATTCACATGCATACACATGCATACACATACATACACATACATACACACACACATACACACACATACACACACATACACACACATACACACACACACACATACACACACACATACACACACACATACACACACACATATACATACACATACACATACACATACACATACACATACACATGCACATGCATGCATGCATGCATATATATCTATTTTTCAATAATGAGAAATGAAGAATAACAATGGGATTGATATGGGTTGATGCCCATACTCGGTTCTTTTGGAGGAATGAACCAACAAGAGTGTGGATCTTTGAATTTTCAACCATGGATATTTCACCATCAAACATGGGATACAGTATCATTTGGACGATAGTGACTGTCTCAGTAATCCCCCGACCACAATGACACTCTCAAAAATTGTACCCAAATTGCGAAAATCAGTTACTTAGTACCCTCTGGTAATTGAACAAAGCCATGGAACATTGCTTACTTGTGGATGACTTGCCTCTTAAACATAGGAATTTTCCAGGCAACAAAGAACCACCGTTTTTCGGGCCTTTTCCGGAGATCCTGCCGAAGGATGCGGAAAAGTGGGGGCATTTCCATTACCAGTAAACTCACAGTTTGCGAACTGGAACATGGTGATTGAGCTAGTTGATTTACCCATGAAAAAATGGGGACTGTCCAGTTCGCAAAACTGACCGGCTACCCAGAAAACTCCGCATTTCTCGGCCAGTTGCTGTCCCGTGCCGGGCGACTGGATCTGGCCATCCATTTGGTTTCAAAGGACCCGAGACGCCGGAGAGGGGGGAGATGGAATTGATGGGACCTGGAGATTTGTGGCTTAACAGATGTTTGGGAGAATGGTCGAAGGAAGTTTAGAAGTCAAACTTCCGACAATATGGACAGATGGAAAAGCAGGGGTGGGAAGAGTCAGAGAAGAGAAAGAGGAAGGAGAAAGATGCAGGTGCGCGAAAAGGTAGAAAAGTCGCGAAACAATGTGTTTTTCCAATGTTTTGTGGCTCTGGAGGGTCGAAAAGTAGGCTTGCTAAAGCGGCGGGTGCAGAGCCATCTGGGGAGATGGGAGATGAACAATTGCATGCCGTTGTGGCGCGAAGAAGATTTGGAAGCCAAAAGGCTAAAAGCACCTCACGTCCGGAGCACTTTTGGCAGTTGAGATGTGGAAAAAGTGCGCGGCCCTGTGGCGCGAAGCACGTTTTGAAGTCAAAATGGCCAAAACACCACATGTTCGGAGCACTTTTGGAAGTTGAGATGTTGAAAAAGTGCACGTCGTTGTGGCCCGAAGCGCATTTCGAAGCCAAAATGTACAAAGCACACCAGCGTCGGAGCACTTTTGGAAGTTGAGATGATGAAAAAGCGCAGGTCATTGTGGCACGAATCACATTTCAAAGTTAACATGTTAAAAAGCATAACATGCCTGGGCCACTTTTGGACGTTCAAGGGCGATTTTTCGTGGCAGGCGCAAGGGATTCTTCACGCGTGGGTTTTGTAGGAGTTTCCGAAACGATGGCAGGCGTGGGACACTTGAAGAGGATCTGCAAAGATGCATTTCGCATGGCAGGAGCAGAGGGCGCAGATTTCCTGAGACGGGTTGTATTTTGGAAGATGAGATCTTCAGGTTTGCTAAGATGATTTTGCGTGACAGGCGCAGCACGTCGTATGACCTGGCCTCACTTTTTCGTGGCAGGCGCAGTACTTTAGAGAGATGGGATGGAAAAATCGCAAAACGCATTGGTACGAGGTTGTCACCACAGCACTCAGCTTTTCATTTTTGAAGTAAGTCTCGCAGAATTGTTTTCGCAGAATTGTTTCGTTTTTGATGTTGACAACTTCAAACATGGAGCCCCGTCATTTGTTGCAGCATAGAAATGCTACGCCGTACCTTGGAAGTTTGAAACAACGGAGTCCCAAACCAAAACGTGGCCCCGTTCCAATTTCTAAGTTTCAATCGTAGGAGTGTGTGAAGAAAGGACAAATTTTGGGGCATCGAAGTGTACAGAAAGGGCCTTGTTGAAATCCAACATTTACACCTTCAAATCAGTTGCCCTGTTGATATCCAACATTTTTCCTTTCCACACAGGCATGTCACAAAGACTTAAAAAAACATAGATGGATAGATAGGTAGAAAGATGGATCAATACATAGATTGATGCTCAGATGATCAGATGGACTGATAGGCAGATAGCCGCTAGCCAGATACAGTAAATAGATAGATGGACACCAGATAGACACTAGACAGACACATAGAGAGAAAAGTAGAAGGAAAAAAATACAGTCACACAAAAAAATACACAGAGCGATAGACAACTAAACAGATAGATAGACAGAAAACTAGATAAACGAATAAACGGATCGGTGGGAGATAGATAGACAGATAAATGGAAAGACGGATAGACAGATAGATAGATTGACGGATAGATAGACGGCCAACACTCCAACCACTTTTCAGTCCATCAGTGGAATCGCTCTGCCATCCATGCATCACAACAACTCACCTCTCCTATCTTTGAAACTTCCGCCACCGCCTTGTGCGGTTGGATATGGAACACACACACACATATATATATAAAATATACATACATATTCAATTATATTCCCATAGAATTGTTTGGGAGGTGTAATTGGTGTTTCTTACTAAGTTCTTTGAGTTTGGATTCTTGTTGAAACGAAACCACCTTTCATGGCGATATTTTGCAGATGTTGTTGTGATTGGTGTGCACCTGTGAATCTGCCCGCAAAAAATCCGGCTCAGATGTTGAGGGGCGAGGCGGGTTAGCTTCAACGCCCGCCATGACGGAAAAGGGCTTTCGAATTGCTTCGGAAGTCAACAAAGAAGGATGGGAAAAGGCGCAGTTTCCAATCCTCTGTGAGACATGCCTAGGCGCGGAGTGCCAAAAATGCTGGGATTGGAGAAGGCAACCTGTTGTTGGCGATGTGTAGGGATCCATCTTTTTATCCCTGATATTTGGGTTGGATTTTCTGGTCATGGCTCACAATTCTTGTCCCACGAATGGCTGCATGGCTTCCGTCCTAAAAGATTCAGCTATTGATCCCAACAGCTACCCCATGTCTAGTCGCCACAGCCATATATCTCTGGGTTTCACGCTGCAATCACCTTGTTAAAACGCTATCATTATTGGTTCCATGTTGCTTAACACCCTATTTTTCAAGCCCAATCAAACTTTCCATCAATCGTTGCAAGCAGGTGATAATCCCTACGTGCGCATGCAGAAGGAAGACTACGGCGTCGAATGCAAAATCTGCGTGCGACCCTTCACCATCTTCCGCTGGAAAGCGGGGACCCAGGGCAGGTACAAGGCCACAGTGGTGTGTCAAAGTTGCGCCAAGGTGAAGAATGTTTGCCAGACCTGTCTCTTTGACTTGGAATATGGCCTTCCTGTGCAGGTGGGGGACTTTGAAAGTCGATTTTGAGGGGCCAATGGTTTTTTTTCACAGTTTTCATGGACTTGCTCAGAAGCAGTTTTGTTTGGGCAGAAAAAACGGGCACGTGCCGGTGCCAGGTGAGAGACAAATACCTCGAAGAGCTGGGAGCCAACAAGGTGGCGTTGCCCCACAGTCGGGTAGGTCGCGACTATCAGCTCCAAAATGCCCAGGCAGATAAGGATGGTGAAGATCTTCCCTATGGCAAGGTGGGAGCCCATCCCATGCTCCAGCGCCTGGCAAGAATGACGCCCTACTACAAGCGGAATGAGGCCAGAATTTGTACCTTCTATGTGAAGGGTGCGTGCAATCGAGGTCAGGATTGCCCCTTCAAGCATGAATTACCGCAGGGAGGACAGAGGTTCAGTCAAAATGCAGCGCAAACCAGTTGGCGATTTGTTTGGTCCGTCAAACACCCCGTACTGCAGTTTTTCTTGTTCATCCTTATTTTGCCAGGTTCGAAACAAACTATTGATTCATCTTGCAGCAGCTAAAATAAAGTCTTATTTTGCCATGTGGGCGAGGAGAGTTGGCCAACCAGAAGCTTAGGGATCGTTTTCATGGCGAGAACGACCCCTTGGCTGCGAAGATCATGAGGAGAGCTGAGGAGGATCTCACACTGATGCCTCCTGAGGACAAGTCCATCACCACCTTGTACCTTGGAGGTTTGCCCGCAGGCACCATCCCAGGAGACCCCAGGGGACCCCAGGGGCTCGGAAGGGCAGCTCTCAGTTATCATTGGTTGTTGACGGCTTGGTGAAATCCCCATGAGTTGATGTCAGTCGAGATGAAATGTCCCGAAAAAGTGGGGCTGTCTGAACTTTTCAGATAGAATATGGCCCATGGCTCTCCAAAGCCTGTTATAAAGTTACAACGTGGGTAAAACAATAATAAACCATCCCCCAAATCACCATAAATAGGTGGTATAAACCATTCCCAAATGGGTGGTTTATAACTGTTTTACCTACATTGCTGTATTCTGTTTGGCGCCACAGTGAATCTTGGTGTCACCAGAAGCAACGCAGGCACCAAGGAGAAGGAGATCCGAAACCAGTTCTACGTTTCTTGGCCGATGGGTTTTGAAATTGTGGGATCAAAAACGACTTGGTGACATGACACATCTATATGGAAACGTGTTCTTGGCTGCCTGTTTTCAACTTTTTTTTGTGGAACCTCCATCCTATTTTCCATGGTTGGGGATGTTGTAGCAGGGCATTTTCTCCACAAGAATAGAATCAGCTCCTCTCAACAGATGGTACAAAGGAAATCAACGTGATTCAGCAAATCAATATTGATGAGTTGTGAATTTCGCTGCGTTTCCGTGTGTCTGTTATCGAAGTTGTTTAGTATCCTCGGTTTGATTCATTTTGATTCAACAATTCCCAGATCTTTGTTGCTCGATACGCAACCTTTGTTGCAAACCATCCCAACAAGATATGTAAGCACGATACACTACAGTGGTGCCCCCGAATTAGGTTTGTTGGTTTATGTTTCCCCATCTAACTATGCTTATTTCATCACTGTAAATCCATATAAATCCAACAATTCTATGACGTAGCTACAACTGAAATCCAACGAGTGGGGCGACGAATCGCACCTTTTTGTGGATTCTTCTGCAGAGAAAATCTGAAGGATTTTCCACGAAAGCTGCCGAGTTTCTGGCTGAAAGATAGTTAGGGGATGGGGGTTGAATATCCAATACACATTGTTGTCTTGGCGACTCTTCCCATATCTGAAGCAACATGATCCTTTCATTTTTGGTTCATGAAAAGCCGTTGATATGCCAACAAATTTCCATGTGGTTCTAAGTCAATGAATCTAACATTCTGATGATTAATACCGATCTAACAATGATCTCACCATTTTCTAAGCAATCATTGAACCATTTTCCGGCATTTTCCGGCCGAAGACGCAACCGCGCCACCTTCCGCAGGTTTTTGGCGAGATCCGAAGCATCCGAATGGCGCCCAAGCAGAGTTGCGCCTTCGTCACCTTCGTGAAGCGAGAGGTGGCTGAGCAAGCGGCCAAGAATACGCACAAGATCCCTGGCTGAAAAAACATGGGACACAAAATTACCTGTACTTGAAGGTTTTTTCATACCTGTAAAATCAACTTATACCTATCATACCTATCATCTTGGATTAGCTGGATGATTTTTGCGAAAGATACTATTTGCACTGGGGAATCGATGTCTGGGGAATCCAAGGATCCTGAAGATCAATGGCAACAAGGTGCACGTCACTTGGGGCCGCCCGCAGGCCGGGTGGACGTCGCGACGGGATGGAAGGTGCTTCGGATTGGGGATTGATTGGGGTAATCCCAAAATCGCCTTATCTCAGCTTGGTGTTCTTTTATTTATCGATTTCTATCCAGATAAGTTATACGTAGCCATTTTTGGCGCGGCTCCAAATTCTTGACCCCAAAGTTGGTTGGTTCACTACCATGTCAAGAATGGACCCGTCGACCTGGTTCATTTAAATCCCTATACTCACCATAAACCCGAAAAAAAATCTAGAGGACCATATCAACTTAGCTGACAAAACCGGGGCAGCACTTGTTTTTGAGACGCGTTCACTTCTCCCAATTCAGAAACCTCGGAGTTTCATGGACAAACTTCCAGGTGAAGAAGGAGCAGGAGGCGGCCAATGCCATGGCTTCCGGCTCTGCGGCGCCAGCGCAGGATACCTATCGGCCCTACTATCCCTCTATGGATCCTTCGGCACAGGGCAATGCTCCACTACAGGGAGAGAGACCCGATGAGCGTTCCATTCCCAAATAACGACCGCCTTTTTGCGCGACAAGGGCAGGGTCAGGTGCTGTGCTGTTCGCTCGCAGCACAGCGAACGTGTTGCGCCGCGTTGAAGCGGACAAAGCTTGGTGCCAATGAGGAAAAAAGGACGCTTCCCCCAACAAAGATGGATGAACATGTGGGTTCCCCAAAGTGGTCATGTTTGATTTTTGGGGATCAGGAGCCTCCAAGAATTTTTGCCAATGAATTTCACCAAATTCATTGATCCATATTCAGATCCAATATTTAGATCCAATATATCAGTTATCCAATATATATATGAATATGAAGTCAATATGTGTATACATAGATCCGATTTTAGGCACAATAAAAAATAGATTCACTCAATTCATGTATAACTTTTCATAAATGTTATATGGGGATGGGTCAAAATTAGGTACCCCAAAATTATGGATGGTTAATACTAAACTAGACTAACATCTGTGGTCCCCTAGGTCTTCCATTTTGACCCACATCCAAATGTTATATACTCAATCAATCTTCCCATCAATTCATCCACAAAAACGCTGAAGAAAACTCCACAGGAGATGCGACAGATGCATGGGGTGCAGCCCACTCGAATGGCTGGGAGCCTCAGAGGATCCGATGGCGTGGAAGTCCGTTGATCCACGGATGGGATGTAGATTCCTATAGACTAATAGTGGTTAATAGTGGTTAATAATGGTTAATAATGGTTGATAAAGATAATCAATGATTAATATACTGCTTGGTGGTTTGGAACATGGCTTTTTTTTTTCCGTTTCTTTTTTTTGGATGGAATGGAATGTCATCTTTCCCATTGACGAACTCCATCATTTTTCAAGATGGTTAATAGTGGTTAATAGTGGTTAATAGTGGTTAATAGTGGTTAATAGTGGTTAATAGTGGTTAATAGTGGTTAATAGTGGTTAATAGTGGTTTCGTGGTTAATAGTGGTTAATAGTGGTTAATAGTGGTTAATAGTGGTTAATAGTGGTTAATAGTGGTTAATAGTGGTTAATAGTGGTTAATAGTGGTTAATAGTGGTTAATAGTGGTTCATAGTGGTTAATAGTGGTTAATAGTGGTTAATAGTGGTTAATAATAGTGGTTAATAGTGGTTCATAGTGGTTAATAGTGGTTCATAGTGGTTAATAGTGGTTCATAGTGGTTAATAGTGGTTAATAGTGGTTAATAGTGGTTAATAGTGGTTAATAGTGGTTAATAGTGGTTAATAGTGGTTAATAGTGGTTAATAGGGGTTAATAGTGGTTAATAGTGGTTAATAGTGGTTAATAGTGGTTAATAGTGGTTAATAGTGGTTAATAGTGGTTAATAGTGGTTAATAGTGGCTAATAGTGGCTAATAGTGGTTAATAGTGGCTAATAGTGGCTAATAGTGGCTAATAGTGGCTAATAGTGGCTAATAGTGGCTAATAGTGGCTAATAGTGGCTAATAGTGGCTAATAGTGGCTAATAGTGGCTAATAGTGGCTAATAGTGGCTAATAGTGGCTAATAGTGGCTAGTGGCTACTAGTGGCTACTAGTGGCTACTAGTGGCTACTAGTGGCTACTAGTGGCTACTAGTGGCTACTAGTGGCTACTAGTGGCTACTAGTGGCTACTAGTGGCTACTAGTGGCTACTAGTGGCTACTAGTGGTTACTAGTGGTTACTAGTGGTTACTAGTGGTTACTAGTGGTTACTAGTGGTTACTAGTGGTTACTAGTGGTTACTAGTGGTACTAGTGGTTCCTAGTGGTTCCTAGTGGTTCCTAGTGGTTCCTAGTGGTTCCTAGTGGTTCCTAGTGGTTCCTAGTGGGTTCCCTAGTGGTTCTAGTGGTTCCTAGTGGTTCCTAGTGGTTCCTAGTGGTTCCTAGTGGTTACTAGTGGTTACTAGGTGGTTACTAGTGGTTACTAGTGGTTACTAGTGGTTACTAGTGGTTACTAGTGGTTACTAGTGGTTACTAGTGGTTACTAGTGGTTACTAGTGGTTACTAGTGGTTACTAGTGGTTACTAGTGGTTACTAGTGGTTACTAGTGGTTAATAGTGGTTAATAGTGGTTACTAGTGGTTAATAGTGGTTAATAGTGGTTAATAGTGGTTACTAGTGGTTACTAGTGGTTACTAGTGGTTACTAGTGGTTACTAGTGGTTACTAGTGGTTACTAGTGGTTACTAGTGGTTACTAGTGGTTACTAGTGGTTACTAGTGGTTACTAGTGGTTACTAGTGGTTACTAGTGGTTACTAGTGGTTACTAGTGGTTAATAGTGGTTAATAATGGTTGATAATGATAATCAATGATTAATATACTGCTTGGTGTTTTGGAACATGGCTTTTTTTTTTCCGTTTCATATATGGGATGGAATGGAATAATCTTTCCCATTGACGAACTCCATCATTTTTCCAGATGGTTATTACACCACCAACCAGCTATTTTTTTTTCATTTATCCTCACCATTTTTATAGGTGGTATGGTTACCATTTTAATAATCATTAACCACTAGTTGTTGCCATCATTTACCGTTTGCAAAGATTGGGGCTTCATTGGGGCTTCAACCACCAACTTTTGAGAACTGGTGATTCGCCGGCGTTCATTTTTGGAAAGGCGTGGGGAAGCATCCCATTTTGGAACGAACTTTCAGGTTGATGAGTGATTAGAATTACATACTGTAGCCATATAGAGGGATAGCAGTTATTCCTGAGCAAAGAATTTTAGGGCTAGTCAGGGTAATCTGTATATTGGGGCTTAACTTTAGGTGATCTAAGGCAGCTAAACCGCTCCTACAAACGGATATCACACTCATTCATTAGGGAATTAAGCCATAAAAACTATAATCATCCCGAAGTCGCAAAGATATTCTCATTTTAGTGAGGACTTTTTAAAAAACTCCATATTCTATCTACTTCAGGATGACTATAGTACAAGCAAGGGCCCCTAGTAATAGGTCAGTTGCTTCATTGTCCTACCGAATGTTGCGCTGAGGTTTGGTCGTGTCTAGTTTGGACCTCAGGGCTGTGACCTGGTTGTTTGGGTGTTATATGCACATATATATATATATGTAATATACTATACACATATGTATGATGTATTTATACATACATACAGCATACATATATATATATACACATTCACATGAATGCATGCATGCATGCATGCATGCATGCAGACATACAGACAGACAGACAGACAGACAGACAGAAAAAAACATATACATACATTATACATATATGTATGATTATGTATGTATATATATATATATGTATAAGCATCTCATTCCATGCCAATTCCTGTGGATTGTGTCGGCGCTGCATCCCTTCGAAAAAATGATATTCCACTGATTGGACACCCAACGCCCCGTGATGCGTTTTCATCCGCCCTGACGAGACCTCCAAGTTAGGAGCTTACTAGGCCGTTGCTGTTGCGGACCAGATCTCTGAAGCATCTTGATGAATCCGAATACAGTAATTGGTCAGCTCCCCATTTTGATCTGCTAAATTCGATGTCTTTGGTGGATGAACTCCAATCCTCCTTGTATGAATTCCCCTCCACATCTTTTAAACAGTTTTTTTTTCTTCCATCCCAAACATGTCTTCTTTTCTTTCAAAACAATCCGGGGTTTTTCTCAACCAAATCCACAAACAAATCCCAGGTTTTTCGCTTTGTCATACGCCAAATCCCAGGTTTTTCTTGCTTCAGGTCACCTGCTGTTTGAAGGCTCGCGACCTGAGTCGCGCGGTAGGGGCCTCAGAGACGAGTTGAGTCAACGAATTCCTTCCCAGAACCATCTTCGAGCACCCCCTCCAGTCACAGATGCTGAGAATACCTTGGAAACCTCGAAATTTCGGAGGACACATCATCTTTTTCACATCCTGGAAATCCGTTTCGCTCTTTTTGGGGGTTACTAATCCCTTTGCCCGTTGATATTAAACACCCCACAGAAACCCTGGTTGCTTGTTGGATGAAACCACATATCTTTGACTCATAGAATGGAGGTGTTTAGTATGAATGCTGCATGGGATTCGTATTCAACAAAAAAAACATGTTCCCGGAGATTTCAAATTTATGAGCAGAATCCAGAAAATGAGCAGCCTGCAGCCTGCAGCTGCAAAAAGACCCCTTCGACATCCGAGAAACGGTTGATGATTGGGATGGGGTTGTCCCAAAATTTCTCGGAGAAACCTATGTGGTATATATATATACATGATATATATATATATGTATATACATACATTATATATACATACATATATATATATATATATACATATATATATACATACATATATATACCATATATATACACCATATATCAATAATATGTATTTCTACAGTATATGACTGTAATGTACATCAGGTGCTTTCCTTGGAATACTTGGACAACGACGGCGCCTCCCTGGGGACAGCGGGGGACAGCGGGCTCCGTGGTTCCGGGCGCTTCGTCGTTGGCGTGGTTTGCCACAGGAAAAGCGTAGGAAAACCATGGGAAAACCATGGGAAAACCATGGGAAAACGCCGATTGAACCAAGAAACATGGGGGATTTCCATGGATTTTATGGCTGATTGATGAAAGCTAAGTTGACGCACATCGCTTGGATAATGGGTTTATGGAGGATATAACTAACTGGTGGTTTCTGGTCGTTTCTAGTCATGGTAAGGGTGGTTAAAATCCATGGTTAATGGAAGATTCTCAACCAAACTTGCAAATGATGGCATTTTGATGTGAACATCAAAACATTGGTAAACCAAGATCTATCATTATCTACCATCTAGTTTGGTTGTTAACCATTATCTATCATTGCCATTAACCATTATCTACCATTATCTATCAACATTTCGAGGATAATCATTTGCTACCAATAGCAGTTGTTAAGAATTATTACTTTTGGCACACTGGCTAATAATCCAGAATAGTAGTGGTTAGTAATAATGGTTAGTGATGGTTCGGTCAATGTTTGTTGATTCTTGTTCAAAACCCCTGGTTGATGATTAGTCCGGGTATTACACAACCCTTTAA